TTTGGGGGGGGAAACCCCCCCCCCCCCCCCCCCAAATGTTTTCTATGAAGTCCATTGCCTTGCTTTTTGTATATGTGTCTAAAGTATGGTGGGGAGAGAATGTAGTAACACTTTATCTTGGGACAGTGTTGTGTGTGCCTAAGTTAATCATAGCTCATTCAAGTTATCCTCAGTCATCCCAGGAACAAGACTGCCAGGCTGTGTGCTGTCCCTGGCCACTTTCTGGCAGAGCAATAGCAGTGCAACTTGGAAGGGCTGTGTGGGTAAAGTGCTGTGCTGTGCTGTGCTGTGCTCTTCCTCTCTTGTCCCAAGTTTTTAGTCTGGATCAGCTGGGGACCCCTTCAAATGAAATGTCTGTTTTTATTTAAACATCTGTATTTTTTTTTATATCTAGGGAGCATGAGTGGTTTAAGCACGAGCTTCCCAAGTACCTCTTTCCTGAAGACCCATCATACAGCTCCACCATGATTGATGATGAAGCCTTAAAAGAGGTGTGTGAGAAGTTTGAATGTGCAGAAGAGGAGGTGTTAAGTTGTCTATATAGCCGAAATCACCAGGACCCTTTAGCAGTTGCTTATCACCTCATTATAGATAACAGAAGAATAATGAATGAGGCCAAAGACTTCTACTTGGCTACAAGCCCACCAGATTCTTTTCTTGATGATCACCATTTGTCTCGTCCTCATCCGGAAAGAGTGCCATTTCTAGTAGCTGAAACGCCCCGTCCTCGCCACACACTTGATGAGCTAAATCCACAAAAATCAAAGCACCAGGGTGTAAGAAGAGCGAAGTGGCACTTGGGAATTCGGAGCCAAAGTCGACCAAATGACATCATGGCAGAAGTTTGTCGTGCAATTAAACAGCTGGATTATGAATGGAAGGTGAGGGGTGGGAAGGGGTTTCTGGTGGATCATTTTCATAGATTCAGATTGTTCGGGGCTGGAAGGGACCTCGCAGATCATTGGGTCCAGCCCCCTTGCTCTAGGCAGGAAGACAACTTGGGTCAAGTGACCCCAGCAAGGTGACTGTCCAGTCTCCTCTTGAAAATCTCCAGGGTAGGTGACTGCACCACCTTTGGAGGGAGTTTATTCCATAGTCTGGGCACCCTGACTGTGAAGGAGTTTTTCCTGGTACTAAGTCTGAAGCAGCCTTCCAACAGTTTATATCCATTGGTCCTGGTCTTCCCCAAGGGTGCCCTAGTGAACAGTTGTTTAATTTCTTAAATTTAGAGCTTGACATACACAAATAGTCCAGCTGATAAATATGTGTATTGGCAAAATCCCCTTTGTATATGCAGTTCTTTTGGCAGTGCTTCTTGTTGCCTTAGCTCAAGGAGTCAAACATCTGGCACCCTTGAACCTATTCCATCTGACCTGCTGGTGGGCCAGGGAATTTGGAGGTATGGCTAGGGGTACTGTTGGAGATAATCATTGCTGGCAGGGGGATGAGTGAAGGTTGTGCTAACAGCCCTGCTTGCCTTGTTCCTACTTGTCCCACAACTATTTGTCCCATCTAACCACTGTTGCTACAGCCACTGCTTTTTCTGTGGTCCAGATCCAGCCTGGGACATGGGGTGAGTTTGACACCCCTGGTTTAACCAATATTCAGGAAGATGATGGATGTCTATCAGCAAGGGTTTTGTCAGCCCAGCTAAACTTGAAAGAAGGCCTAAATAACTTGGTTGGTCCATTAAGACAATAAAATGCTGCATACATTTTTATCACTGTCCTTAAAATTACAATGGAAATTAACTTTTATTTGCATTTTATAACTAGGTTGTAAATCCATACTACTTACGGGTTCGAAGGAAGAATCCAGTGACTAGCACGTATTCCAAAATGAGTCTACAGCTATATCAAGTGGACAGTAGGACATACTTACTGGACTTCCGTAGTATCGATGGTACGTGAGGAGAGGAAAAATGCGTAACTAAATAAGTAAATAAATGAAATTTGAATGAATAAATATGAAGTACTATAAAAGTACTGAGAAACCTAGCGCCCAATTTATGCCTTTTTGAATATAAGCATCAATCTGAAATGCAGTTTGAATGGCAGTAAATTAGAAACTTGAGGCCATGTCTTTGTATGAGTTAACAGGTACAGAGAGATTTGGCAGGGAGGAGGGCGGGGAGTCTGATCTTAACCTTTTACCTGGCAACTTGTGAAAACTGCACACTGCCTTGCTGCCTCCTAGGATTTTAACTAAAGTTTGTAACTAGGGTTAACCCTAGTTGGTCTAATAAAAAAAATATCACCTCCACCGTGAGTTCTGATGCTCTTTCTAGGGAAGACGCAGCCTGACAGAGTTAGTCATGTAAATTGACTCATACTCTGCGGCTCACAGATATACATTGTAGTTCTGTCTGCTGTCACTAAAACTGCTACTAGTAGACTATATGGGCACTTATTTAGGAGCAACTGAATTCTTTACATTGGCTAAGCTCATACAGAGTGGTACATTCAGGTCTTCAGCTGGTATGTAAGTTAGCTGTGTTTAGGTTAATGTCTTAGCTATACATATTCATGAGTTGAGCTCCCTGATTGTGGTCATCAGTCTTGGAGGTGGTTCCATTTTACTATGCTAGTTATGAGTTTTTGGGACCAGAGAGAAAATAAGAGTTAAGTTGAATTTTAGGGGAGTGGGAATGATGCTGCAGAAGGAGAATAACTGCAAATAACTTGGCTTTGGAAGAGGGGTGCTGTCTGTGTGACTAGTACAGAGTGTGTGTGTGTGAAGGTTGGGAATGGGGTTTGTACAAGAAATACACAGAAATGTTTGGAGTGTAAAGTGGGGTTACACTATAGAATGGCTAATCGTTAGACCAGGGATAGAAGCAACACTCTGCAAAACTAAGGTAGCCCCAACCTTTGAGAGAGTCTGCCTTCAAGTACCCTGTTACTCTTATACTTCCTGTTACCTTGTTGAACTAACCATGCAATGTTCTGACTGTGAAATTATATTTGAAGAACATGGTTAAAAGTAATACCTTCTGTTTCTTCAGCTATCTCTGGAGGAGGGTTCTGTCTGGGTTAGTCAAATGCCAAATTCTTAATCCTGTTAATGTGTGCATATTTAGAAGTGCTGAGTCTGCTTAAGTATGTTGTGTGAATAATGGTAGAAATCAGGATTACCTTGCAGGGACTCTTGGATGGACCTTTGGGTTTCATGGGGTATTTTTTAATGACCAATTTGCCATTGTAAAGTTTTTTCATCCAGGTGTTTTTTTTCTTTTTAGATGAAATTACTGAAACAAAGTCTGGGACTACAACTCCACAGAGATCGGGCTCAGTGAGCAACTATAGATCTTCAGATGTTGATGCACAAGGAAAGTCTGTAGATATGTCCAGTACCTCATCAGTGACCTCTTCACTTGACTCTTCTACATCTGACTTGACTCCGAGACCAGGAAGTCATACAATAGAATTTTTTGAGATGTGTGCAAATCTTATTAAAATACTTGCACAATAATTTTAAAGATTGGCTTATTTCTTTTACAGCAATAAGCATGCCTAAATCATAGTCAAATGCTTCCAATTATAATCAAGTTTAAATTAAGGCGCTGAAAAACCTAGCCACATAATGCGATTTGCACAGGAACTGAAACATGATTATGGGCAGTTAGACCTGCAACACACGCTGAAGCTGAAGTGAATTATGATTGTTCACTGTCCAGTAGTAAATACAGGTACAATAAATTATAGGCCCTTTTGGCAGAGTCCTTAACATTTTACATTGAGTGCACACTAGAATTCATAGAACTTTTTATTGAACCATGCAGATTTTTTTTGTCTTTATGGTGGTGATACATATTTTTTTTGCAGTGTAAGTAAATGTTCACCTCTTAGCCCTATGACCTATCAAAGTGACTTACTGGTCACAATCTATAACTGTGCCTCAATTTTTATCAGTATGAACTGTTCAGTTATTTTAAGAGCAGTAACATTTAAACTGCTGTGGTATTCATTCAACTTATTTGGCAGTAAATAAACTATTCACCCAGAACAGCCTAAAGCAAATTATAACATACTGCTTCTTAATAACTCTCAGATTTTGATAAGTGTGTTGGAGAATCCAACCAGTTGGTATTTCTTAAGGATTTAAATACTTTGTAAGCACTGGGTGAAGTAATATGGGCTGCGTAAGGTCAGTAGAACAGAGTGCTCTCCTCATGCATTTGGGGGGGAAGGAAGGGGGATGACTTCTCAGCTAGTTCATGCTGTAGAACAGTTCCACAGGAGATGACTCTTTCCAGTGGGTTTATGATCTGTGCAGGTTAACTAGTAGTTTTAAGTGTAGCAGCGGTGCAGCATCTCCAAAAGTGCTGTTACAGGCTGAGCGATTTTGTTTATTAGAGCCGTGTGCATGGTAAAGAGCATGCACCACAGGTTAGCATATGCTTTTTCCCGAATTTTGCACTGAGTTCAAATGATCAGTGTTTAATACTTCCTAGACCTAGTTCTTTATAAAATTGATGAGTTGGCATATATGGTACAGGTTTCACTTTGCTGTTGAAGCTGTTTTATCTAGACCAGAATGCTCAAGTAACTTTTTATAGCACATCTTGACACTTTAATTGAGAGATCCTAAAGTTGACAGCGCAGTTGAGTCCTATTTAAACTGAAACATATCTGATTCATGCAGATAAAAGTATAGACTTGATTGCTAATATTCAACTGAGATTCCCATGTCAAAAATATAGGCATGATTTTAGTGGGCAGTAACAAACAAGCTAGTGCTTCTAAACTTGAGCAGTGTTTCAGAAAAGAATTGACTCTTAAGTTAGGGCAATCAACATATGCACATAGTGGAAGCATTTTTTAAGCATGTCTCATCTGCAGTTGGAAGTACTTACTGCTTTTCTCCATCATCTAGCTATGACAGTTTTAAGTGTAAAACAGTATTTGTGTATTCCAGAAAAAATGTTTAATCTCGCATTTCAGAATTGTAAAAATGAAATCCACGAGATCTTCAGTCCCACAAAGATTTCCTCTTTAAATACCACTATAGTCAACGAAAAAATTAATATATAGTGTGAAATATTGACTCAACTGAAGCTTATGGTAACATTGTCAGTGACTTCAGTGGATCTAGGGTTTTGCCTACTGTGAACTGCTAAATAAGTATGATACAATCTTGGCCAGAAGCAGATCTCTTAAGTGTTGCTAATATATACTGACTTGGAAGAAACCATGCACCTGTTTTAAATCTAGGATCTGCTAAATTTGCATTATGAATCTGGGAGTTGTATGGTCTGTCCAATAAGTAGGTACAACTTCTGTTTTCCTGTCTTCAAGATAGTGTCACGTAGTGTTGTAATCCTGCATTACAAGGACTTTATCCCAAAATGAAAGATTTAATTTTAGTGTTAAAATGAAGCATTTCTACAGCTGAGATTTTTGTAATGGATGTTTAGCTTGGGAGGGGGACCAATAGCTAAACTTACTTCCTAAAGCCTTTTTTTTTAAAGAAAGTATTGGTTGTGATGCATTTCTTCAATAACTTATTGTGATCCCTTTTTGTTACGCTGTTTTTTTTAATTTTCAAATTGTTAAGCATTGCACTTATGCAATACAAATGCACAGTTTCTTTTTTTATTACAGTATTTCTTCTTTTGAAATCTATTTGGGATTAGTTAAAATATCTCTTGAAAATATATTAAAATTAAACTTTCTAAAAAATATAGACTCCTGATTGCAAATATTTTGTAGTGCTGAACACACATGTTAAGGGATCAGGGTGCAAATTGCCTTTACATTTTTATACTTTTTCAGCCCTTTTAAGCTTTAAGGCAACCATGTTTTTACTTTGTCTTGGTATCTGGAGGTTAAAATAAGTTCCTGGCAGAAATATACTGTATACATAGTTTTAAATAAAGTAAACATTATTGGAACGATAAATCAGTTTTGATGGCCAAAAGTTTTCTCAAGTGCAGTTTTTATACAGGCTGGGGGTGGGAGAAATGGGACTGTAATTAATTTGTTTCTTGCAAAATTTCATTAATCTGCATAACCACACACATTTTAGATCTTAGTGATCTTGCAATGAAGTCAAAATGAAGTTCTTGAAACATTTGCTAGTATCTGCCAATAGGTTGTGAGAGAGAATTCACTGCAAAATGAAGAGGAGCTTTGAAGGGGAGAGTACTCCAACATTTTCCACAATAGCAAAGGGAATATTAAACTGGTTGAGTGCTTATTTTTTTTTCCCAAGCTTGCTCCAGCTGGAGTCCCTTGAAGGACCCTGCATTTGTATTGTAACTGTTCATAAGACATGGTTACATCTGACTGTCCACGTGCAGTGTAACTTCATTAGTAAGGGGTATAAATCCATCTTGGTGGTGCAATATATCAAGTTAACTTTCACATGTCATGACAAGTGTTTGAATACAGATTTTAAAATTTTATTTTGTCAATTAATTACTACTGTGTGTTGTAAGAAATGGATGCTTTCTTCTCTCACAAAAAGATGTGCCTACTTCCTATTGCAATTTTTGGCAATACTGAATGGAAAATGCTTGTTATAATTGTATGTATGACTTTTTAACTTTCAAAAGATGAAGCTATGTTACTAAATATAAAATACTCAACCTTGTTTCAAAATTGTGTGCATGCTACTTGTCTTGTGTCTGTATATAAACTTCATATGCTAACCTAAAGCGGATTACTAAATTTATTTCAAATCCAGAAAGATAGCTAAAATATAGACGGAAGTAATAGAAAAGCAGGAAGGTGGGTGACCCGTAAATCCCATTGTACACTTTTTGGTAGTATATGTAGATTTCAAGTGTACCTTTTAAATACTAAACTTGTTTTTATAAATGTCACTAACTTCAGAAGCTCAGCAGTTGGCTAACACAACTTTATGTTGCTGTAAAACTTGGCTTGAGACCAAATGATCTTTAGTCCTGATTATTCAGTGCTAATGATTAATCACTGCCTCAAACTATTCCTGCGCCATGAGTAGGGTGATCAATTTTTATTAAATAGGGCCAGTTTATAAGTGTAGACTGTAAAAATGTGCAAGTAAAAACTTAAGATTGGAAGGGACTTTCTGGATCCAACAGTTCAGTTCTTAGTATTGCAGACAGTCGTGTGTGTCCCTTTTTGCAGGGTCTAAGTTGTTCAAACCCCACTCTCCTGATTGCCAGGCAATTGCAGAACCTTGCTGGTCTATTGCTTAGAAGTGGTCTTCTGGTTTCCAGCCTAAATTTTCATGTAGTTTATAGCCAGTTTTTGCCTATCGGTTGTCCTAAGACTGTCTATTTAGCTTAAGTAGCTCTTCTTGTTTCTTGATGTGAACTCTAGATATAAACTAATTCATACGGAGCGCTGTACTTCTGTGGCTTGGTTCCTTCCGGTACTTAAAGTAGCTCAGTGTAGATGCAACCTTAATTTCCATGTGTGATAAACATTGACAGATTGAGACAGCAACATTTTCTTTAATGTCAAGAAAATTATAACAAAGCTGAGGACCTGTTCTCTGTCTTGCCATCCCTCTCCATTGCCCACTGGGAGTGGTTTATTTAGGTTGCAGCCCTAACTTAGATAGATATTAAGGAGTGGCACTGTGCTGGGTTTGAATTGCAGTATTCTACCATGCATGGCACTCCAGTTGTTCTAGGTTAATAATTTAAGGAATAATTTGTGATGGTCTTAACACAATGGTCAGCCTGTGAAGAAAATCTGCACATGGTGTGGTTAGCAACTTTAGAACTATGTTGCTCAGTTACTGTTTTTCAGATAAATTGGTGCCCTACTTCTGTAGTGGGGGATGATTTGATGGGTTTAGTACTGCTTTGGCTATGTTACAGTATACAGAGAGTGAATGAAGATGGGTACAGGTAGTGATACTGTTGCTGAGAGCTTTCCCCCACCCCTCCCCATACAGTTAGTTGGATAATAAACCTTTAACACTGTCTTGTTGCTTCCATCATTTGGCTAATGGCTTAGAGTGGGTTAATCGACTTGTAGAGAGCTGTTGTAGAGTGGTGGCAGAGGTATTTTAATGGCATCACGAATTAGGGTCAGAATTATGCTATACCACAGCAAGATGCAAATTGAACTACAGTTTGGTAAAAAGAACAGTGAAGGTGAGAGGTGGAGATTATTAATGTTCCTGATACTTTCACATGCTCTATAGAGTGGGATATTTCTTCAAGTTGAAGTCCTCTAACAGACCCCTCATCCTTACTGTGAAATCTGATTCCTGAAACACCTGTACTTTACTTAATTACCTATCTGTTTGTAATTTATTCTTTCCTTGGCTGCAGAACATTAGGATGCTGCTCTAAATTTTTCATGTTGCTTTGAAGTTTGGTTCACTCTTATGCATTTACTGATGGTCTGATATCACTTCAAGTTCACTGTGTTACTTTCAAATGTTCATTTGAATTTATACAATGGAAATATGAGCCAATTATGAGACTCCCCAGCAATAATAATGCTTGGTGCTCAGAAAAGTGTCCTGTGTAGTTTTGTTTCTAGAAACCCCAGAAAAATATTCTGAACTGGATTACAGCCAGGCTGTGGCAGGAGTGATTTATGGACAACCTGGGGGAGTACTCTGCCAGTGGCTAATGAGCAACAGCCCATAATCTGAGTGAGAATCATTAGACTTTGTAGTGTGGAGAGCTACCTTTTGATGAGCTTGTTTGCACTATATTGCTCCATCCAGCAGTACTAGGCAGTAAATGAGGTAAGTTTTTGTGAGGCCTGTGTAATGAATTCCAAGTGTACTTTGTAATGACATACATTGCAAAGGGGACAAATTAGAAAAGAATGTCTTGGTTATCTAATCAAGAATAAGATAAACTGTAACTTTTTTCATGAAAAGTCTTGAGGTTGGAGATCTTGCCTTCAAACTATACTAACAGCTTGTCAGGAGGAGAATTTTTCAAATATTATTGAACTTGTAAATGTAGAGAATGTGGTTTTTATATGTGTGTGTTGTTTTTTTTACTTTAAAAAAATCTGTATTGAAATTAATTTTGCCATGTATTTATATTTCCTAGAACAGCTCTTTTAGTTAATGTTGGGAAATGTGGTTCTTAGGGTGGAAGCTGTACTGCTTGCTCTTGAATGATAAACATTGGGGTGAGTTCAAAAACTGCAAAGTCATATACTATATCATGCTGTATAATCTTAAAGCACTTTCCGAACCCTCAGAAATGTCTACTTTCCTTCAAGAACTGCAGCATCAAGCCCAGAGGAAACAAAGCCCACATCCTCCAGCCAAGGTATTGCGTGCTGATGACTGATTGACTAGTGGTTTCAGTTTTTCTAGTGTATCTCTTGTTCTTTATTTCCTAGTTTAGTAATAGCTAGTTCGCTTACATCTCACTCTTATTCTAAATCAGATTAAACTACTTTACATTACTAAAAGGACTTTTTTTCTTTTCTCTTACCATGTTCTTGGGCCCTAAATACAGGTGCATCAAATTATAGGCCCTCCTGACCAGAGTCCTTACCATGTTACACTGAGTGCGTGCTAGATTTCATTGAATTTTTTGTCTTTTCACGGTGATAATTTTATTGCCGTGCAAGTAAATGGTCACCTTGTAGCCCAGTGATCTCTAGAACTGTGCCTCAATTTTTTATTTATTTAACAGGAGTCCCTTGTTGCAACTGTTGCGATGCTTCTGCCCATTATTTGGTGGTTCCAAGGCTATTTGGGTGAGTCTTTGAAAGCAAACCCTAACATGCTACTTCTTAACTCTCTGACTTTTTGATTAAGTGTGTTGGAGAAGCCTCGCCATCAGCATTGCTTAAGGATTTAAATACGCTGTCAGCACTGCGTGCAGTAACATGGGTTGGATCCAGTCCCTAAAGCTTAGTGCTGCCTCAGTGTTGCCAGGTCTTAAATATGAAATTATTGTATTGGAAGTTCAAAATTATATTTGCTGAAAAAACTCATACACTGAAAAAATATGCAAATAAGTCTTATTTCCACTGATCACTGTAAGTTGCCAGTGTGTGAATGAGAGCCAGGTAGAAGTTGAAGCATTTTTTTTATTTTGAGGCAGGCAGTTATAAGAGTGCTGACAGCAAACCTCCAAATCTGAGAGTGACTTGGGTTTTGCATATGCCGCATCAATGGGCTGCTTCAAAAATTATGGTACATTTTGGAATCGGAGCTTGTGATAGAAGTGATATCCTTTATTAGACCAACTGGATTTTTGCAAAAAAAATTTCTTTAATTGCAGGCTTTCGGGCACAAGCACCCTTCAGGCATAGCAGAAAAGCCTGTAAAAGTTCTCCTGGGTAGAAAAGCACTTTTACAATCTTTTCTGCTATGCCTGAAGGTTGCTTGTGCCCGAGACCTTGCAATTAAAGATTGTTATTATTTTAGTTTTTTGCAAAAATCTAGTTGGTCTAATAAAAGATATCACCTCTACCACGTATTCTGATTCTTTCTGCCTCTGGCTACCACCAGGATACTTGGTACAGCTTGAGATGCAAAACTCTAAACCTCTTGGTTCAGAGATAATATCTTTTATTAGATCAGCTAAGAAATTCCCCCCAAAAGATCTTTTTCTGCAAGGTTTCTGGCTCTCACGCCCTTTATCAGGCTTTGGGAAAATTTAAAGATGGTAAGAAGTCGCCATACGTAGGTAGGAAATAAATTTCATTTTTGCACAGAGGAAACCGAAAGTGGAAGTTGCTCCGTCATGTCCATAAGAGTAGAGTGTCTTTGCAAGTTGCTCTCTGATGGGCAGAGAAGGCAGAATTGCTTCCCTAGTGGTATCAGGTGGCAGGAAGGTGTAGAAATCTTTGTTGTTCACCAATGAGGTTTAAAATCCAAAATGGGCTAAAATTCGGCATCTTTCATGTTTCAGGGATGTCTCTGGTAGCCGTGTTGGTTCGAGACTAAAAGAAATGGAAGGCTCTACAAGTCTCGGTTCAGTTTTGTGTTTCTTTTGGTCTCGGACCAAGACGGCTACCACCTACATCCCTGGTGCATCTTGAACACTTCCCCTGTTACTGATCCTACAAGGGTTGATAACCAGCGCACACCTGGCAACACCTCATGCGACCGCGGCGGGAGGAAAAGGACACGACTGGGGCGGCGGCCCTGGCCTACCTCCAACCAGACCAGCCCCCGCCGCGGGCTGGGCCGGAAGGGCGATGCAGGCCCAGAAGCCTACAACTTCCAGGAGACCCTGCGGCGCCACGGCGGGAGCCGCGCGGCATGCTGGGAGTTAAAGGCCAGGGCGCCCTTCGCTTCTGCTCCTCCGGCGGCGGAGCTACTTCCGCTTCGTCTCGGATGAGGCTGTTGCCGCTTCCGGGTTCAAAGGTCGCACCTCCGGAGGAGGCGGAAGAAAAACAGGCGGTGAAGCGGGTCAGGTAAAGGCCTCTGCGCGCTAACGCCGCCCTGTGCTCGGCTCCCCGGGCCCGGCTCTGCCCTGCGGCGCGGGCCCAGCGTGGCTGGAGCAGGAGCAGGCCGCACAGTTTCCGGGCCCCCTCGGCCCAGCAACCTCTGCATCGGGCCCCATCCGGCCGGCGCACCCCCGGGCCGAAGGGGTCGGGCACCTGCTTTCGAGGCGGGGAGCAGTGCTTGGAGTCGGGCCGTGCACCCATAGGGGCCCCAGGGAGCCTCTGCTATGGCATGTGTGCCGCTCACTGGGTACTTCCCACCGGCTTGTAGGTGGTCGTCGGCCCTTTAATCCGTGTCTGTTGAGCTGCTTTTCTGAACCGTTCATTTGCTTCAGACAACTGCCTCTGCCTCCCGCCGTTCCCATGGTCGGGCTCTTTTGCTGCCCCCAGTATCATGTAGTTCATCCATCATATTTCGTAGCGGCTGGTCAGGCGATGCTGCCTGAACCCAGATGAAGGCGTTAGTTTCTCTGCATCTTTTGAGACCAAAATGTCATTGGTTTAAAAATGTCCCCCTTCAGTCTTCCAGCATGGCTTCCTTTGGGTGGAAAAGGAAGATTGGTGAGAAAGTTTCAAAGGCCACTTCCCAGCAGTTTGAAGCTGAAGCTGCTGATGAGGAGGAGGATCTAGCTGACAAGGAAGATGGTAACGGTGTCCATAAAGCTAAGAAGAAGAAGGACGTTCTCATGGGGGACTGCGTGGAGAAAAGCAAGCAGCTCAAGGATGAAGGTGCAGTTTTGGCTGAGAATAGGAGGTACTGAAATTATTTTAATCTCCATTGGTGTAAGTTAATAAATGAATTAGTAAAGGAATATTTTGGTGTTTTTTTTTCTATTTTTAATTAGCAGGCAGTATCCAGTGGAGGCTTCTGCATTCGCATCTGTTTAAAAATAAATCCCATTAAGGCTGCCTTTGTAATACTGAACAGCACTTTGTCAGTTTTCACCATTTGATGGCTTTTTGTTGGCCATTACAAAATAAATTGGTTCGTACTCCTTTTCATCTTAAGCATACATTCAGTCCACAAAAGCCACCACTGCACCATGTTATTAATAGGTGTCTGGTAGTTCCAGCAGATGGAAAAATAACTGATTTTATTAATTGCTGAAACACTGTAGCTCTAGAGCCAAGGTCAGCAATGACTTCTGTCTGTGGACCAGAGTGACCCAGGCGAAGTTGGAGGTGTGCCAAAGGTAGGACCTGGCTGCTGCTGCTGCTTCTCTGCCACCCAGCCACGGTGCACTGTGTAGGCAGAACACCTAGCTGCCCAGCTGTAGAATGCAATGTGGCACAGCATGGCACGGATAGAAGTTCTTCCACCACCAAATGCTACTGCTTTGCTCTGCAGGCTGGATCTGGCCCACTGGCCATAAATTGCCAGCTGCTGCACTAGAATAGTCAGCCTGGAGTTCTTGGTAACTTTGGAAGGGTAGTGTGAAGGTGCTTCCATTGTTGCTGTTTTGCTACATTCAGACAAACAACCGCTAGAGGCAGACTATGTTTTGGTTATTAGTGAAATAACTTAGTAGAATATTATGTAGCTAGTTCTTGTTTGCCCGCCACAAAAAAAAAAAAAAAAGAACGATTCCCAGAACAATCAGCAATCCCTTTAAAGTAAGAAACTTGTTCTTAAAACTTATGTTTCTCCATTGATTTAAGTTGTGAAAATCTTGTAGCTTACTCTTCCTACCTCTGCCCCTGGGGTCAGGGCCTTCAAGGCCTCCACATGCCACCTTCTCATCCTTTTTACCATTTTATTAGAAACACTGTTATTCTATCTACTTCCTCAGTGTAATAGCTTCAAAAGAGGCTGCTATAAACTTTAGGCTAGTGATTCTCTGCCAGGGTGTCACAATATCTTTCTAGGTTGCGAGGAAATATGTGTAAGCTCAGGCTTGGCTTTGCCTGACTGATCCCGCACTTGCACTGCCCAGCCCCTCCACGAAGAAGTAATCACTGTAATATATAAATTAGGTTTTGAAATTTTGGTGTCGCTCAATATACAGAAGTTATGGAGAGAGTGTCTTAAATTCCAGTGAGGCTTAGGTTTTTGGAACTTATTAAAAGGGTTATTGATTGCAACATGTAAAATACAAAGGTTTAAAAATGTCGTTGTTGCTCATGGAGTAAAACCCTTTGAGTATTAGTGAAATTTAGGCTTCTGAAGAAAAGCTATATTTCAGCACAGCATCTTTAGAATGTGCTGTGCAGGGTGGATGTAATTTATTTTGCTTCATAAGTTTTAAGTGCTGTTCTAGCTTTCCCACAGTGTTTTTTTTTTTGCAGTGACTTTAATTTGGAGAAATTCAAGAATCTTCCTCTTGTGCAGCCCAGCAAATATACGGGAAATGTCCTATTTTCTAATGTCCCACAACTGGTACACACATGGCTTGGAGAAATATAAAATTATATATTCATCACAAGCTTAAAGGAATGGAACGTATTATGCAAGACTTTAATTATTATTGATCACCAACACACTGTTCCTAAAGGTAGCTTGTACCTTCTATAGAGGTAGTTTGTGCTTGTGCCCTCAAGAGCTGGCTGTCTAAAATATGCTAACTGGGTAATGAAGAGGATGGAATAACTTTAGAGGTTTAAATATGTGTTTTATTATTACCATTTTGACACTGAAAGTGATCCTTTAGGAGGGATTTAAATAAGTCGTGTCTAAAAACAAACCTTCACTCTTGCTGAGTGTTCCAATCATGACCAGAGACCTACCTAAATCGTGGTGGAAGTGCATTGCTCTGATTGCCTGAGGGGGCCCTGGGGCCCTTGCTGATTGGCCAGGGGGCAAACACCACAGTTTTTGCCTTCCTGGCCAATCAGCAGCAATCACTGGAGACCCTTGGTGAGTCAATGGTGGGAGGCAAAAACCACAGTATATTTAAAATTGCAGGTTTTACCTCCTGGCTGATCAGCAGCGAGTGGCAGGGCTACCAGGGCCTCTTGGATAGTCAGCACTGGGTGAGGGCACATAGCAAAAAGAGTGACATCTAAAGGAGTCACTGTGCACTTCTGCTGCAATTTAAGTAGGTTCCTATTAATGATACTGTTGGCTAACTACACGTTCTTTTTGCACATTCTTTTGCCAGCATTAGAATTGGTGTCCTTCTAAAAAACAAAACAAAAATAAAACAAACCCAAATCTTTATACTAAAAATAATGAACTAAAACCATTTTAAGTTTGCTGTCTATCTATATTTTAAATTGGAAGTATTAACAGATTATATACATCTGTGTATATAACTATCTACATATAAATATCAGAAAGTGCAAAATGTACCAAATAACAGGCAGCACTGCGAATCTATGTCTTTACAGTACATCTTCACTCAGAGTAAATTACTGCATATAAACTCTCAGATCAATTTTACTTTTTTGATCTATAAGTTTTAAAGATACTAAGTGGTAGCTTAGTATTTTACTTAATACCGAGTGAAATTCAGTGCAAGCTGATTTTTCCCCTTCTTATTTTGCTTTTGAACGTTGTACAATGAGGAGGAGTTCTTGGCTCATGGATTGTGGCATGTTTTCATATGTCTTATTTCTGTGTGTTCTATAACAGTACAATAAAGCTTTTAAACAACAAAACCCCCTCAGGCCCCAGGGGAGGCACACCTAGGCCAAGGATTAGTGAGGAACTAGTTAGGGAACTTCTGGAGGGACTGGATGTATTCAAGTCAGCTGGTCCAGATGATCTCCACCCTAGAGTACTAAGGGGATTGGCTGAGGTCATTGCAGGACCCCTGGCACGGCTTTACGAGGACTCGTGGTGCTCTAGTGTGGTGCCAGAGGACTGGAAGAGGGCCAACGTGGTTCCCATCTTCAAAAAGGGAAGAAGGAGGACCAGGGAAACTATAGGCCAGTTAGTCTTACCTCGATCCTGGGCAACCTTTTTGAGAGAATTATTCTGGCGC